TTTCACCAAAAAAATGGCACTCAAGGCAGGTTAAAGGATGGGAAGAGGAGAAAGTGACTTGACAGTGAAGTTGGTTCACATGACACAAGAGCCCAGCATGGATGATCACCTACAGTGACTTGATGTTCACGTTGTTTTCCATGACCGAGCCACCTTGAGAAGCCATGGCTTGCTGTTGGGCGGGATGGGGTGGCTTGTTTTGCCAGGATGTCTGAACCCAGCTCCGTGGCCAATGGCCCTGCCACGCTTCACAGGGTCACAGACCTTGCCTCTCCTGCCTCACAGTCTTGCTTGCTAAACTCGCGCTAGCAAAGAGTGTGCTCGCACCACTTTCAACTCCCCTAGCCTCCTGCAAGCCACCACTTCACTCTACGGAGCCCTTCGGAGTTCGGGAACCTTCTGTTTGTTATCGATTCCATGAGCTCGCGGGAGCATGTGGCTCTGTCAAAAGCAGCTGCATCTGCCTTGCAGCTTATCTCCAAGCACCTACGTCAACATCACAGAAGGAACCCTGGACAAAAGCCTCTAATTGTGTAGCAGAAGCCAACATTGTTCACCATTTGTACCCCCGATACTGCACAGTCCACTGCAAGGAGATCTCTTTTACGTTGTGCAACCAGTCAGTAGTGGGATCAACCCCATCCCTTTTCTGAAATCATCCTGCAGTGTTGCGTCTCCCTCTCCTAGTAAAGAGAGGGGTGTCAACCCCTTGCTTGGATGCCCGGAGGAACCTGTGGGTCATCCTCTGCCAGCAGGGATGTAGTCGGTCACCCCGCTGCAGTCTGCCATCAGCTGCCGGTACCGCAACTCACCGCATTTGCCATTGCTTTGCATACTGCATTTGCCCCCGGACTCTGTGATGGATCCCACAGAGGAAGCTGTCCACAGCTCACCCCACTATCAGCAACACAAGCATAAGGAATTGGCATGACCACCCTAAGAATGAAAGTTCCAGAAAGTCCTCTCCATGAAGCCCTGCTCAGCTCCTGTAAATTCAAGGCTGAGACTTCCTTCCATCTCCTAGTTAATCATCCTTTTCATCTTCTGCCTTTGACTTTCCCCGGCATGTTTGCCTCCTCCAGGGAGTCTGGCCTACCCTTGATGCGCCCAAAATGGGACAGCCTCAGTTTTGTCACGTTTGCTTGTAGGGAAAACTCTGTCTTCATCTGCTCTAAGATCCACTTGTTTGTCTTTCTGTTGGTCCAGCAAACCCACGAATCCCTCTTCCACCACCTCATTTCCAATGCATAAATTTTCTTCCTGTCAGTTTTCTTCCCTATCCAGCTTTCACACCCATGCATAGTGATTGGGAATGCAATTGCATGGATAATCATGACCTTGGTCCCCAGGGAAATGTCCTTACACTTGATCTTTTCTAGTTCCTTTATTTCTGCGCCTCCAAGGCTCAGTCTTCTTCACATTTCTTGGCTACAGCCTCCATTTGAGTCGATGACAGAGCCAAAGTATGTCAAATCTTTCAAAATTTCCATTTCTTTGCTGTTCACAGTAAAGTTCTGCAATTCTTCTGTAGCCACAACTTTTGTTTTCTTAGTGCTCAGCCGCAGTCCTGCTTTTATACTTTCTTCTTTCACTTCCATCAGGAGTCATTCCAAGTCATTGCTGCTTTCTGCCATTAGCACAGAATCATCCGCGTATCTTAAACTGGTGATGCTTCTTGCACCAATTTTCACTCCTTCCTCTGATTCTAATCCAACCTTCCTATACATTCTGTATACTGATTGGACAGAGAGGGAGGTAAAATACACCCCTGTCCTTCACCTTTGCCTATGGGAAACCATCCTTCTTCTCCGTATTCTGTCCTAATTGCAGCTTCTTGTCCATGATGAAGGTAACACACCAGAGCAATCAACCACACGCTGACCTCTTTTTCAGTTGCACCCAATAGGGCTTGGAGCCAACTGGGCAATCAGGTGCACCACCTGGGCCCACCTCCAGCATCAACTATATCGCACCGGTCCCTGGACCTACCTTAGCCCTCCTTTCCAGCACCACCCGAGCTGGGTCTGGCAAAGCCATTTTCTCCAAGGTGTCTGGACTGCAGCTAAGGCTCTAGGGCTCCCCAAGCACTTCTCTCAGTCTAGCAAAGGGGGCACGTCGTTTTCTTTTTGGCAGCCATGGATGCCTGCAATACCAGGGGAATTGCAGCTGCTCTTTCTTGGCACGGGATATACTTGCTTTACCATATAAATTCCCTGCCTCGGGTAGGAAGGTGCTCAGCCACACTGCACCTTAGCATCGCAGCTGACTTAACACGAACTTGCCTTCAAAGCATCCACGCAACAATAACATTCAACAAGCTTACGATAAAACATTAATAAAGCAATCCATAACAACATAGTGGCAACTATTCCACTGGTACCAAAACAGCCAATATAAAACCACACAGCTTACTCAACTTCAGTTGATCCATAGGCCGTGGCTCCCTGATTGTGCTAGGCAAATGCAGTTTTTGTGCATGTCTCCCGCCCCCGCCCCCGGTTCTTTGGCTTTGCAGAGCTGCAGCTGTTCCTTCAGTTCTCCACGTCAGCTGCATCCAACCATTCCTTCTCTATTCTGCCCTCAGGCTCCCACGATTCTGTTTCACTGGGTGCCCCTTGATTCTATGCTGGTGAGGGAGAAACTAGCAGAATTTTACATATTTCTATTATGTCCTCAACATCAAAATTATCCACATATTTTGCCCAAGTCCCAAACGTGGCAACCGTGCCTCATAAGAAAGCTGCTTCAGCTTCTGGATAGTTCTGGCAGGGTTTTCTACGCTTCTGCCATCACTGTAGGTCCCATTTTGAGGTGAGACGCGCATTTGCTCTCAGTGTGGCTGCATCTCATGAGAGCATCATGACTTGAACAACTTTCACTTTCCCTTTCTTTCTTGATGATCCTCAGCACAGGCGTTGGCTTTTCCACAGCAGCGGCACACTGGGACACTATTTGAATCCTGTTGCTCACCTCAGCCCAAGATCTTTCACCAGCAGATCTGGGAAGCTAGGACTTTTTGCCCCAGTGCACGGTTTTCACACTTATTTATACTGAGCCATCTTAATGCCCATTGCTCCTGTGTGGAGAGACCCTTTCAGAGCTCTTTGCTCTCCCTTTCCGCTTTAACCACCTTAAATAATGTGGAGTTTTCAAATTACACATGCTCGGATTTCCTCTTCTACAGGGCTACTACGGGTAGCAATTCTTTTGCAGCTGGTGGCCTTTAATTAAGAGAGCAATCAAACCACAGCGCTCAGGTAAACAAAAGTTACAAAGTGAAAGTTTGCCCATCCTGGTGATGAAGATGATGCCTTCTCCCTGGGCTTGTTGGAACAGGACATCTGAAAAACATTTCACGGGAAATTCACAACACTGCCTTGAACCTGCCTATCCAAAAGAAAGGCCCCCTCAGTTTAATGGGACTTATTCCAAGGTAAGCATAAAGAACTACAGCCTAAGCCTAGATGCAAGCTTAAACATGCCTTGTACAGTAGTGGTATCACGAAATCCGCATCAGTTTTATATTCTTGCACACTTTTCAGCAATCTCTACTGCACTGTGGTAGTGCTTGCAATACAATAGCATATGACAAGGGTATAAAAAGTCAATATTCGGTAAGCACAACCATCCACTTATCTGTTAAATCCAACATTCCTTAAGGTATCCCAGCAAAGATATGTCAAACTTACATAATGGTTACATTTCTGTTTCGATATTGCTACACTACTATAAAATCACATTCCAACCAGGCAGAGTATGGTGAAATACACCACAACGTGGTGTGTTTGTACAATCCTTTTCACATATGAAAAAGTATATCTTCTGAGTGAGTGTGTGTATAAAAGTCTGACCTACGCTAACTCTCAAGTAGCTGGATCCTGTATAAAGTTAGCCCAATTTTTATCGTTAACATCAATGAGGACAGATAACTTTTCTTATTCAAACAGAAAATACTGCAAAATGACCAACAACAATTTTAGGGGCAGGTAACTTAGAGCATTTGTACTAGAACAGTTGTGTTTTTAACTGATCCTTTGCTACAGGTTTGAATCTAGGAAGCTATTATGGCCGGACAAGCCAATCCCAGATGAATTGTTTAAATCTTTCTGAGCTCTTCTATTATATTAGCCGGATGGAGGGAGTGAGATAAAGTGTATGAACTCAGCATACAGGTGAGAGCGGTGATTTTCAATATTCCATGTGGAAATAACCTTGCATGTAGAAAATTAACAGATCAGGGAAACAGCTGTATTATGGCTGAAGTCTTATACTTTGTTTATGAGTAAGCCGCAACTGAACTTATTTCTGAATGGGCATGCAACGTAAAGCTTCCTTTTTGTTCTGCTGTCTTTCTAGCTGCAAGGAGCTTTGCACACAGTGGAGCATTAAAAAAAAATACAACCCCGCTGCCTCGCACCTGGCGTCTGAACTGATCCATCCAGAATCGCATCCCTTCAGCTCATCCTGCATCATGTAAGAGCTCTGAGATGTGGAAGTGAGAGAGGGGAGAAAAGATGTCTGGGCTCTGAGAGGTAAGAGAGGACTAATCCACTTTAAACCTAAAATGTGCTGCTATTTTTGAATGTGCTACTAAACACAGAAATCCTCCTACCAGTGAGTAAAAAGCCAGCACGTGCGATTATAGCATCCCAGTGCAGCCATATCCCTGACTGCCGGTTTTCTGCTTGCGGGGAGGCTGGGGGAGCGCGGCAAACGGTGCACGCGCAGCCTCGCCGTCGTGAGAAACGCCTTCTGCCTCCGCCCAAGCGCGGCCACTTGCTCCTCCCCCCCCGCACGCACACCTTGGTCCGCGCGACACCGGCCGCTCCCTCGCGCGCCGATGCTGCCCAGGCAGGTAGCGCCGCGCACCTGACTCCTCCCGTCGCTTAGCAACAAGGCAAGCCCGCCCCTGGAAGCGGCCGCCGCTCTGGGCGGTACCAAGTGGGGCCGAGGGGGAGATGGGCATCTTCCGAGAGGGGGCGGGCCGCGCGGACACTCACCTGTCCCGGAGATGCGCCTGCAGGCGGCGGAGGTGGTCGTCGTAGCCGCTGGCGGCCATGGAGGGGCCCGGATCCCGCCACACCGCCGGGCCTGGGCGCCCTTGTTTATTTCCCGCTGTCTCCAAGCTACCAAATGCTCCCGACATGCACGACGGTTAACCCGCCGCTCCCGCCGCCGCAGCCAATCAGCAGCCGGTCCAAGAGGAAAAGCCCCGCCTCCGATCTCTCTTCCGCCCATTGAGGCGGCGAGGCGCGCGGGGAGGAGAGGAGCCCGTGGTCTGGTTGGCCCGCCTCTCTCGCCTCCTAAGCCAGTCAGCAGCCGGTCCAAGAGGAAAAGCCCCGCCTCCGATTTCTCTTCCGCCCGTTGATGTGGCGAGGTGCGGGGAGAGAAGAGCCGTGGTCTGGTTGGCCCGCCTCTCTCGCCTCCTAAGCCAGTCAGCAGCCGGTGCAAGAGGCAAAGCCCCGCCTCCGATCTCTCTTCCACCCATTGAGGCGGCGAGGTGCTGGGGGAGGAGAGCAGCCCGCGGTCCGGTTGGCTGTCTCTCTGCCCCGTGAGCCAATCGGCGGCCGCCCCAGGAGGCCACTACTTGTCGGCGGGGAAGAGGCGCCGGGGCCGATGGCGTCGCGCTCCACTGCGGCTCCGCTGGAACGGCGTGCGCGGCGCAGCGGCGCCCGGGCGGAGATCGGGGCTCTGGGCCCGACATCGCGACCGATGGGCGCTCGCCCCTCCGCGGCGCGCGGCCCGGGGCGCCCCTCCTCGCGAGGAAGCGCCGAGCAGCCGCGGGGGCCCCGCCCGCCTCGCCTCGCCGCTGCTGCGCGGCGCGCCCCGCAAGCAGGTCCGCCGGAGGGCTCGCTCGGGGCGGATGCCGCGGGCCGGAGCCCCCGCCCGGAGAGCGGCGGTCGGATGTCCAAGCGGCCCGGCCCGGCCCGATCCGGCGGCGCTCCCCTTGCGCGCGAGTCTCCGGGAACGCGGCGGAGCTGCTCCGGGGTAAGTCTGCAGCGGGTCGCTCCCCCGTCCGTGCCCTGCGGAAAGCGCCCTTCGCAGTCGCCCGCCCGGCCGGCCGGTTCCCAGACCGAGCAACCTGGAGCAGCCGGAGCCGAGCCGCGTGCCGGGGAGCTCCGCGCGGGGACGGAGCCGCGGCCCCTCTCGAGGGCTCCGCGGAGCCCCTTTGACCTGGCAGCGCTCGCGGAAGGAGCGTGCGTGGGAAAGCCGTCGTCCCGCGCGGCGCTGAACGCCCCGATGCTGCCCGCAAGGGTATTTCACGAACGTGCACTCTGGATAATGTGATCCCCGCCACTCGTGCTTTCTGCATTTAATTTCCCTCTTTCCTGTTTACTGTCTCCTGCAGTAAACCTGTAGTAATACTTCAAGCATCTGCTGGTCGATGGAAGCTTATTGCATAAGACGTGCATCGCTCTTTAAGTTGCCACAAGTTCATTGAATGCGATGCTTCCCTTCGCCAAAGCTTAGCACCCCTATCCCTTAAACTGCAGGCCCCCAAATAACTCGTCCTTGGACAGGCACAAAACCACGATGCATAAAAGCGATTGGCCATAATGACCATCCTTTCCACTCATCATTGGTCAGCTGTCAAAGAATCACGACACAGTCACGAAGATTGCGGGCAGTACCCAGTCCCGGTATGCTTGCACGCCAACTTGAACTGGACTTGTCGCCTTGTGTTCATAGGTTTCCTTTCGGTTCTGCACTGATGCTTTGGGTATTGAGAAACAGGGAGCAGAAGAGCAGAGCATGCTGTGAAATCTATAGTTTGGGATAAGGTGTGACAACTGCGTATCAGTCAGTTAAAAGCATGCATTAGATTTTAGTTTAGGCTTCCTTCATCTCCCGAAGCTGCCCAAATTTAATATTTAGATTAGAAGCCTCTGACAGCAGAGAAAGGTCTGATGTAATTGCTCACAGCACAGGACAGACAGACAGACAGAAAGGAAGGGGGGGAAGGAGAGGGATTCTTCCATATTCACCAAGTGGTTCTTCTTAGAAGCACAGAGACAAATTAATTTTTCTGAAGAACCATAGAGAAAGAAGAGGAACTGCAATCCAGTCCGGATAAGAAATCAGTAATCATGTCCTGAAGTTCCTGCTAGTTTCCCACAGTCCATGCTAGTTATTTTTCCTTTGCTAAAGATGTTTTTGATCAAAGCAGAAAAGACCTGAAACTTCCTTGACTTTCATGGTAAATAATCCACTGATTCCATGGAAGAAATTCTATTTCATACATCCATTTACTATATTTTCATTTGTCTTCCATATTTCCCTCCCGAGGCTGCTAGCAGCATACAAAAGTAAATATAATTTGAAAAGACCAAACAATCTGAAAATTGTCTCACAATAAAAATGGTATAAAGAAATGCTCGACGTGATACTTAAGAAAAAGCAATGCAGTTAAAACAGTTCAGAATTTGTAAGTGTAGGAGTAAGCGAATAGGTAATAAAATAATCTTATTTTTCCCTTACCTTACATATACATTTATATATAATATACTATATACACTTACGTTCCCAGTCCAACAGGCAGTACCACTAAACCAAGCAGATGTACTGCTAAAGAAGCAGAGTTACTCTCCAGCCAGCTGAAAGTGTGAGGAGAACCAGGCACCACTGATCAGTCCTGTGTGCAGCACAGGAGGTGAGAAGCGCTTTCTCAGACCTGCTCTCTCTCTTCAGGTTAATAAAGAGGCAGAAAAGGGGACTGTTCTTGCTCCACAGATAACTTCCAAGGGTGGTAGGGACTCTTCCAGCCAATCTCCTGGCTTGCTGTTCCAGCCAGGTCTACTCAGGAGTCACCTGGTCTCAGGTTGAATAAAAAGAGTGGGGGTGAGCGACAGATGTCACAGTGGCTTTCTCCACATTCCCCAAGCTGGAAAAATAAAGATTTAATTGTGTGAGTGTTTCTTTACACCAGAGAACTCCAACCTTTCGGGCACACGGGCAAATTCACATTGGGAAAATACTTGATCTCACTGCTTTGGCATCTGCAGATCTCAGCAAAATCCATTTTTTCCCATGTCTTCTGGACAGCACACTATCTCTTTAATAAGGGTTTGTCCAGTTCAGCTAATTGCTGGAAGTACAATAAAGTGAGTGCTTCTTTGATACATATTTAACAATGTCCAGTCGTTGCGTCTTTTGTGGAGGAAGTTATTACACAGATAATCCTTGTACTGGAACAGCCTTTAATATTGACTGATGTAAATGCACCTTTAAATTATTTCTCTGGTCTGTATAAATTAATGTATGGGAAATGGGTTCTCTTCACCATTCCGACAGCTAAAAAATGGATATTGCAAACTTGAAAGGATAAATACTCATTACCTGTAATGCAGTGAACTGAGGTCCTTACAGTGCTTTTGAAATCAGAAGGGTTGGCACAGAGATGCAAACTTGGTTGGATATTTGGCCCACGATTGTTGAAGCCTCTATATAAATGTTAGAGCACTGTATGCATTTCATACAAATACATGTATGTACGAGTATATGAGAAAATGAAAAGAAAAATAATTCAGCTGTTCATGGGGACCCCTTTTCAGTCAACACTGGAAGTGGCTGCAAGTTGAGAACTCCTACTTTAGATATTTCTATCTGCAGTTTTATCCGATTCACACAGTTTGCCTGCAGAATTTCCCATGCCAAGCGCCTGCTCTACATTCACTTCAGCTTGTTCAGTTCTTTTGTTCTGGAATATGGTTCATTTTAAAAATCAATTGCTTTTGAAAGGAAAGCAGTCCGGTTTAAGAAAGGAGTGGGCAATTAGGAAAATTGATATATGGGTCTCATTAACTTGATTCTAACATCCAGACTAGCCTTCAGAAATCACATCTACAATCCCATAACTCTGTTGTGCTGTTTGTGCAGGCTATTGCGACAAAAGACAGAGAAGACTGTTTTGCTCCAGCAGCTAAAGCGAGAGCTTAACACATTTATCAATGCCCAGTATTGTTCTCATACCAATTCTGCTCTAATACCAGATGCCCCCTGAAATACCAATTCAGTAAACCTGGCAGGAAGGGCCCAGAATTGTTCATTATTTTCTGCATCAACCAATAGCATGATGTCAGAGCCCCCGCTTAGTATAGTGGTTTATATTGTGTAAAAGCTTTGTGTCTAAGAGACGTAATACAAAAATGGAAAGGGGAGGCAAATCCAGGCATTGAATCTTCAACTGCGTTGACACTTCGCTGCCTTTGCGCGGGACCTTGTGCCTGCTCACTGCCGTGTGTTTTAAAAGTTCAGGGTTCCGTGGGGATGTTCCACGGTGCACCGTTATGTGCAAACCTGGTGAGGGTGTTTTGGGGTTGGTTAAGACGCCTCCGAGGGCTGTGTATTAACCTGCACCATTAGGGTTGTGAATGGTGGTTAACCATCGCAACAACTCACGCCCACCATGTTCACATGTAACGCCAAGATGCCCAGCCTCAACACTGCTTGAGTTTTCAAAATGGCGTCTCCCATAAGTCCTGCAAGGAAATTCACCCACGGGGACTTCTAAGCGGCTCGCTCTTGGAGTTACTGAACACCCTGCCATCTGGATCGGGTGATTCCTGGGAAAGACTGGGCTGGAAGCAGACTGGAAAAGCCAAATGGCACGTGGTCCTGACCAAACTCAGTGTCGCACATCTCTAGCTTCGCCTTGAATCATTGTGTCCAGCGGGTCAGATGGAAATGTTCCCCCGGGCAGCCTCTTTATCCCATGATGGGACATAAAGTCATATAGTCATAAGCAGAAGTCTGGCTGGAAGCAAGACTGAAGATAAATACAAGGGAAGTCATCTAAAAATAACACTCCAAAATTCAGAAGCTCAGTTCTGCAGTTTTTCAAAACAAAGATTTGCATAAATTCAGCTGTGATCTACAGTCTCCTTTAAAAATGAATTTTTGTTTTTTTATTTGATTTTCATGTGCAACTAGGAACTCACTGGAACTTCCATACTCTTTAGGGTACAACTGAACATATTTTAATTCCCCTCCTATTAAATTGATAAAGTTTGCCCTGATAGCTATGTAAAAGACATACAGAAAATTTACATAATGCCCATATAAGAATTTGGCTAATGAATGAAGTCCTAAATGAAGAGCAGTATAAATGCAT